AAAAAAATAATGTGTAAGATTATTAGTGAATAAAATAATTTGAAAGTAACTCTTAAGGTATTTAAGTTAAACTTTTTTTTTTGATCGTTGGTATTTAAGTTAAATTTAACTCATTGGTAAACAAAGTTTAATATTGAACTCGATAAAAAAATAAGTTTGAGCTCAAGTTTCAATAATTACTTGATCATACACTATTTGTAAGTACTTGGTTTAAAATTAAAAATTATATTATATATTTATTTATTAAATTTAAAAATATGATCACTTATAAACTTAATAAAATTGAAAAGATAATTTAAATAAATTACATAATTTGAATTATAAATAATTAATAAAAATATTTAAATAGAGTTTATAATTGTTTTTATTATTAGACTTAATATATTTAAACTTTTAGTACTCTAATATTTTTGAAAAATGTAAAAAAATTTATAATTAAATAATTAACTATTAAACATTTTGCAATTATTAAAAAACACTCAAATTTAAGTTAGAGTACTTGTTTGCTTAATCTCATAAACAAGCCTGAATTCATTTGAATACTTCAAGTTTAAACACAAGTTCAACTATTTTGAAATTTTGAACTTGACAAATATTTGAATTCAAATTTTTATTGTAAGTTCAAGTACAAGTATCTAAATACTCAACTCCACTTGTTAACAATCATAATAATAATGGGAAAAATGTTTTTGAGCAAAAATTTAAACAAATAAATATTTTAAAATTATGTCATTTTAATAAATTTTTATTAAATATCTTTATTTTAATTTAAATAAGAATAAAAATGTTTTTAATCTTTTTTTTATAGTACTTTAATGAAATGACATAATTTTGAGTTTTCTTTTTACTTTTTTTTTTTTTTTGCAAATATAGATGATAAACACTAATTTTATATATTATATGGAAAATAGTGCATATTAATTCTAGCTTTTATTAAAATATTATTCCTTTTATTATAAAATAATTGTAATTTTTTAATTTTAAGTTTGTCCCAAATTAATTGTTTTAGAATTTTTTTTAAAGCAGATAAATATATTTTTCTAGTTTAATCCTATCATTTTTTATTTATTTTAATTAATTAACCAATAAAAAAATCTCTTTATCTTTTAGCTCTTTCTTAAGTGTATATGGGTAAATATATTTTCGTTAAATCCCTAATTTAACAAAAAAGCCAAAAAATGACAGTTATTTTAAAACAGACAAAGAAGAATTCAACTTAATAAAACCACTAATATCTAGTACATATTTTAAAAACTCAACCATTAGATTTAATATTGTATTAATATAGATTATACATATTAATTTTGAAGTTCATCTAACATCTATAAATATAATCATTTGACTATAAAATTTATATTTTTAACATGTTTTTTAATGATGTTAAATTTTATATATTCAATAAATTAATTAGATATATTTAATTAATCTTAAATTTAATATATGATTTATATGAATGAAATATTAAATTCAATAATTACTTTTTAAAAATATTTATTAAAGATGGTGCTTTTAAAATTAAGATTTTAATTTTTTATAGGAATTATATATAATTTGCATATACAATATTTACATAAAATTTTAATTATTTTTACTATAAATAATTGAGACTTATGGCAAGGACAAAATTAACCAGCTTTAAAAATCAGGCCTGCCTCTTTTAAAACTAAAGATAAAATTAAACCCGACTCAACCATAAACGTGGCCTAACTCACTTGCTTTGCCAATAGTTGAATTAATAAAGAATCTCAAGCAAACCACACAATTGTTATCAAACTATTAGGCAAAACATAAGTACTCTTCCAAGGTCTAATGTTCGCAGCTAGGTTCCAACCATTTGGCAGAGCTACTTATTTTTTATTGTTTATAAGTACATTTTTTCTCCAAAATTAAAAAGCTTGTTGGAAGAAATTAAACGAGAAAAATTGTAAGTATTTATATATTAGTAAGTTGTAAAAAATAATTAATTAATAAACTCTCCGATTCAACATACTAAATAACATATTCATTAAAAAATTATCATTTTTTGGTTTAAAATTAAAGACAAACAAACTTAAAAATACACCAATATATACATCATATAGGAATCGGTTAAATCAGCTATATGTATATGTTATATTTTAATTGCTAAATTAGGCAAGTATCAAAAGATGTGTTAAATCAAAATGTGTATCAATCAATTTTCAAAAAAAAAAAAAATTAATGACCTTTTATATGGAATTAAATTTCAAACTGAGGGTTAAAATATTCATTGTACTCTTACTAATACATCATAATCTTAATCTATTTAAACTAATTCATAAGCTTTTCTTTTAAACAACAAACTGGCATGCCCATTCATTAAACCTAGTACATTTACAAATATTAATTTCCTTATGAACTATCCTAAAATTTAAACCATGAATCTAAACCATGAATCTAACTTATAAGATAACATTAATTTACCAATAGATTCCAGCTAATTTACTAGTAGATTCCAGCTTTGTTGTCACCAAAACAGTCTTAGATCAAAAAAAGATGATGAAGAAAAGGGGTGTGGTTATGGTCAGTAGGGTACCCAAAAGTTCATGTAAGAACGGTAAAATTTAAAGTCACTAATCACTATACAAAATTGTTGAGTATTAGTCTAAATTAATATTATTTTTTTCAATTGAGTTAAAATTACTATTATACTCTTTTAATAATAAGCACTTTTTTAATGATATTTTCGTTTCTCTTTTTTTTTTTTTTTTGAACAGCAGTCATATATTATATTAAAGTGAGTACAAGGGGTACTCAAACCCTTTTTACACTAGGCAACAATCATACAGCAAAATAACCCCTTCAGTCTCTATTCCTATTTCCTTCGTCCAGCATTGTGACCTTTAAGCCATTCTGCCGGGTTCACAAGCCAATCTGAAAGGCTGAAGGCATACCTGTCCCATTTTGTAGTAACCCATTGATAGGATCTCAATTGGATAGTTTCTAGCAACTTTCCCCGGTCTATTTTTTTGTCTTGGAAAATCATTTGATTCCAGGCAAGCCACATTGACCAAATTAAGTTACTCCAAATGCAACCCCAGCCTTCCCTTAGCCGTGGATCTTTACTCCATTTCCTAAACAGCTGAAAAGATTTCCAGCAATCCCTCTCCAGTAGAATCTCGATCCCCCACCATTTAGCACACTCTTGCCACACCCATTTGGTTGTTTTGCATTTTAAGAACAGATGTGTAGAGCCTTCATCTTCCTCATTACAAAGGACGCATTTACCATCACCAGAGTCTCTGAGAATCCCTCTAGTAATCAAATTCGATTTTGTTGGAATTTTGCTTATTAATAGCTGTTAATTGAAGGCTGAAACTTCGCTTGAAAAGCTGGGATTCCATATTCTTTTGAACGTCGAAATATCAGTTGATCCTGTTTGTTCTTTTGTTAGAATTGAGTAGGCTGTTTTTGTCAAGTATTGTCCATCTTTGTCGTGGACCCATTCCCACGAATCAAGCCTTCCATGTGTGATCATCTTGTCTTCTATCACTTCCTGGAGTCCTCTAGCCTCTTCGGTTTCCCATTCGAATAGTTTCCTTCTCCATTTGAGGTTCCATCTCCTTGGTTCATCCCTATCATTTTTCATTTGGTAGCATGTGTTCTCCTTTCTTGTTGATAACAAATACAATCTAGGGACTTGTTAGCAAGATAGCCCACCCCGCACCAATTATCCCACCAAAAGCTAACGCTCTTGCCATCCCTTAGCTTTGTTCTAAACCCCTCCATCAACCATCCTGCTCTCTCTCTATCTATTTCGTCCAGGCAACATACCTCTCTCCACCATAAAGAACCTACTCCTCTATATTCTTTAATCTAGTCCAACCAATGACCCCCTCCATTTCCATATTTGCCTACAACTACTCTCTTCCACAATCCCTCCTCATTTTCTGCAAGGCGACCCCACCATTTTCCTATCAATGCCAAGTTAAACTTCCTCAAATCTCTCACTCCTAGCCCGCAATCCTCTCTTTTTTTGCACACCTTAACCCAGCTGACCCAATTTATTTTTCTCTCTTCCCCACCCCCACCCCATAAAAAGCTTCTACGAATCTTATCAATAGAGTAGAGTATACCTTTTGGGATTAAGTAGACTGACATGAGGAACACAGGTAGGCTGGACAATACTGAATTAATGAGCGTGATGCGACCTCCCAAGGAAAGTTGCCGACCCTTCCAGGTAGCAAGCTTCTTTTTAAAAGATTCAACCATTGGCTACCACATTGTTACTATTCTGTGATTTTCGCCTATTGGGATCCCTAAATATTTAAATGGGATCTCCCCTTCCTTACAGCACAGTTTAAATGCCATTTTATTTCTCCAATTGTCGTCAACACCTATCCCTATTAGTTGGCTCTTGCCAAAATTGATTTTAAGACCAGAACTCAGCTCAAATGTTCTCATTATGCTTTTAATAACCCCAATATTGTCCTCCGATGCCTCTCCAAAGAAGATAGTATCATCCGCAAATTGTAGGTGTGAAACCGAGACTCCTTCGTTACCAATCACCACGCCTTTATAAAGTTGTTTCTCCACTGCTGAGGACATTAGCCCATTAAGCCCTTCTGCCACAATTAAGAATAGGAAGGGGGATAACAGATCGCCTTGTCTTAAACCTTTACTGACCGAGAATTGATTTGTTGGGCTTCCATTAATGAGAACAGAAATCGAGCTTGATGCTAGACATTCCCGTATCCATTTTCTCCAGGTAGCATTAAATCCCATCCTCATCATCATATACTCAATGAAATCCCAGCAGACCTTGTCATAAACTTTCTCGAAATCAACTTTGAATAGAAAGCTTTTCTTCTTCTTTATCTTGACCTCTTCAATGACTTCATTCACTATCACAACTCCGCCTACCAACTGTCTACCCCTGATAAATGCCATCTGTTGTTCCCCAATGACCTTTGGAAGCACTTTCCATAGGCGATTTGCTAACAATTTTGCAATAATTTTATACATGACTCCAATAAGCGAGATAGGCCTGTATTTTTCTATTCTTTGCGGGTTCTCGACTTTTGGAATCATGACAATGAAGGATGCATTTGATCCGCTGGCAATTCTTCCAGTCTTATAGAACTCTTGTACAAAATTAATGATCTCAACTTTGATGTCTTCCCACATCTCCTTAATGAAGCTGAAATTGAACCCGTCTGGACCTGGAGCTTTTGAAGATCCGCACTCCCAAATTGCTTCTTTGATTTCCTTTTCTGAAAATGTGGCTGTGAGGAGTTCATTATCTGCCCCTGAAATCTGTTTGAAGTTGATCCCATAAAGCTTTGGCCTTTTCCATTTCTCTTCTGTAAACAGGTCTTTGAAGTACTTAGCAACTTCTTTTTTTATTTCATATACCCCAGTGTGTTGTTCCCCACTTATCTGGATGCAATTGATTTCGTTTCTTCTGCTTCTTCCTTTCATACATCTATGGAAGAACTTTGTATTCGCATCCCCTTCTTTCAACCAAACCATTCGTGACTTTTGTTGCCACATTCTCTCCTTGATTCTTAGGTGCTTCCATAGATCTAGAAAGCAATTTCTCCTTTTTTCAACATCACTAGTGGACAACGTGAATTTCTCTTCTTATTCATCAATTATTGCTATGATCTTTTCAGATTCAATGATTTTGCAATCCACATCTGCTATTGATTTGCTGCTCCACTCCTTTAGTGCCTTCTTAGTTATTTTCAGTTTCTTCTTCAGCTTGAATCCGTTTCCCCCCATGTATTTCACTAGAATTCCAAGCTTTTCTGATCGTCTCCTTGCATCCAGGTTGCTCCAACCATGCATCAAAAAATTTAAATGGTTTTGGGCCCCAATCAATCTTCTCATCCTTCAGTAGGACAAGGCAGTGGTCGGACACTGATCTTCGCAGGCCCCATGGTTTCACATCACCCCAGTTTGAGAGCCATCCTTCCGAGATCAAGAATCTATCAATTCTACTCATATATTGTCCATTGGAATTATACCAAGTATACTTCATACCCACTAAAGGTAAGTCAATCAGATCAACATTGTGGATGAAGTCATCAAATTCCCTCATTTCTGCAGACATCCCCTTACATCTTGCTCTTTCCTCTATACTTCTTACAGCATTAAAGTCACCTACAAGACACCAATTCCCATTTCTACTAGAGATCAAACACTGCAGTTATCCCAACAAAGCTCTTGTGCCCAACAATTGACAAGGAGAATAAATATTTAAAATGTGCACCAGTATTTCTTTCTCCCCCCATACTCTAAATACCCCAATAAAATTATTCCCCTTAACCACCTCTATCATCTTTAACACTTTAGGATTCCAAATACACAGTAATCCACCAGACATGCCCATCGATGGTTTTGAGATCCACTCCATATCCTCTGTTCCCCAAACCCCTCTGCATGTCCTACTATCTACTGCTTGCAACTTAGTTTCTTGGATAGCTAGAAAGTCTACTTTTTCTTTCTTAATTAACTCCATAATCTGTCTTATTTTCCCAATCCCTCCAAGGCCTCTAATGTTAAAAGACAACAATATCACCAGGAACATGACTCACCTTCTTCTTACTCTCAGTACCGTGATTTGCCATAACCGCTTTAGCTCGGATGTCTTTACTCTCCATCTCCTCAATTCTTTGAATAATCTCCCTGTCATCCTCTGCCACTGCCCCCAACTGTTTTGCAAGATCCCAGATTTCCTTTGCTAGCTGGTTTTGCATTTGCTTCTTTAGGCATCTATTGCAATTTTGGATTCCACTGTCTCCTACTGAGCCACCCGTGATCTTCCTGTTTGGGCTAGCTAGGAATTTCAGTTCGATTCTCCTCTCTTCATCTTGCATGCTCTGTTTTCCTTGTCTTTTCTTCTGTTTATAACCCGCTCCCACTGCTCTTGATTTTGCATACACCGATCTGCACAATTTAACTTTCCTCTTTTTCTTCGTTGAGCTCGCTTCTGCTCGCCTGCTCATCCATTCTTCTATGTGTCCCTGTTCTCTTTCATATCTTCTCCAGAATGGATCTTCATCTTCGGTTTCTATGTTGACATAAGCAGCCTCCTTACTTCTAGAAAAGTCTTGAATTGTTGCTGGGCTTTTATTTTCCTTCTTTTTTTTGTGATTGAGCTTGACCCACATTTGTTGATTCCTCATCGTCTGGGTTTTCAATATGTGTGTTGGGCTTCCCATCTTGCTTTACACTGGACTGCTCACCAAGGCTTGAGTGAATATCCCCTTGTTTCATCCTGGATTGTTCACTAAGGCCCAAATTCTCCCTTTCCTCTTCACCTTTATTTTCTGACAAAGCAACGTCCCTTTGTACCTGTACCTCCTTCTCTACCCTTATTCTAGTTTCTGCCTTATTCAAATTTTGAAATTGGTCCAAGCTGTCCTCCATTGTGTCTACCATTTTCTCTTTCCCCATTTTGGCTTGTTTTCGAAGCTTCTCCTTTCCCCATTTCTACCCATCCGCCACATCATCATCTTCTTCCTGAGTACTGCTTCCATTAGCTTCCACGTTATCCTCTACAATGTGAACTTCTAGTTTCTCCCATTCACTTTCGGTGGACCATACTTCGTGCTCTTCTGAATCACTTTGGAATGATAGTAAGAAGTCTTGTTTCAAAGAAAAGAAACTGTTGGTGAATTCCTCCTCTGAAAACTTCACATTGTAAATGATCCCATTGATTTTAATTTGTCGAAGAACTGATATTGTGTTCTTAATCGGAGTGGAGATCAAGAATCTTGCAATATCAAATCTCATTCTTTTGCTTGTAGTATCATCAAGGCATATGAATTTTCCCCAAGAACAGGCCATGTTTTCAAAGAACTTCGGTCCCCATACATTCAATGGTGCCCCTTGACATTTGATCCATACAAATCTCTCATTAGCAATTGCTTCTGGTGTCCATGGGCACACATCTTCAAACCATTGGCTTAGCCAATCTGAAGCCATTTCCACAAGGTCCTTCAGTTCTTCTTTATCTTCACAATCTAATAGGACCATCTTGCCACCCATAGCTCGAATTCGATAGGAAAAATAACCTTCCATGTAAAATTTCTCCTGAAGATTTCGAACCATCTCAACGGAATGCACCGTTCCCACATAACATCCCTTTAGCCATGCATATTCTTCAAGCTTTATATTATATTCGATTCTTGCCCAGTTTTCTCCCTTTCCTCTTTCCTGCCAAACTTTTCTGTATCCGGAGCTTCGATGTCCAGGTTTGGTTCTACTTCTGCTTCTCGCTGGCCTTCTTTCCCGATCTTGATTAAGCAGAGTTTTGCTTCCCTCTATCGGTTTTCTTTCTTGCATACCCTTCACCACCTCAGCATAACTTCTGTCTAGGGTTATAGGCTTTGTCGCTTGA